TTTTTATCTGTATACTTATAGGATGGAATAAGCAAGTTTTTTTTTTATTTTTAAAAAATACTTTTTTACTATACCGGGTGCGTCTCAAAAGTGGCTCACCCCTATAACTTTTTATTTTTTTTTAGATAAAAAAAACACATTTGCTATGTTAGAATATGACATAAATTAGGAATGATTGACATTGAATTGTTTTTGTCACTTCCTATTTCGCCGGAAATGACTACAACTTTTCATTTTCTAATAACATCCTCGGTATTTTTTTACTTTATTTGATAGAAAATGACACTCTGAATAGAATGACTTTCATATATAAACTTTTTTGACATTTTCGGCATATGGTTTATTTGAAATTGTAACATAACGGTAATTTGATTCGAAATACCAAGTGTGTGGTACCAAATTATTTGTAAAAAATACCTTTTCCAAATATGCTAATGAACAACCCTTGTTTTATTTGAAATAATTGAGCTGATTAAAAATTTGGACTCTTTTAACTAGCCAGAACAAGAGACGAAAAGCATTAGACGGTGAAATATTTTTCCAAGGCTCCTTGATTAAGTGTCATTTTCTATTGAATAAAGTAAAAAAAAATTCGAGAGTACCATTTAAAAATCAAAAGTTGTAGTCGTTTCCGGTGAGACAGGAGGTGACAAGAACCAATTGAATATATACGTCAATCAAATCTAATTTATGTCTAAAGTGCCACACAAATATCGTTTTTTTATCTGAAAAAAATAAAAAAGTTATAGGGATGTTAGTATGCTGTTCTGAGTTTCGATAAAACAGTAATTAATAAAATTTAAATACTCTCCTGATATATTATTAGTGATTTGTAAAATTGCTAATAAAAATTCTATTTAACTGCTTTGAAATTTACTTATTATTAATAATTGTATTTCAGCATAAAAACTCATGATGTTTCTGAGAGATTTACACACCACACATACCCAGAACGTTCCAACCCTAACCAAAATAATCCAGCATCAACAAAACTCCTGAACAAATTTAAGTAGAACTGAGTTAAAAGTGTTACAAACAAAAAAAAAAATACTAGACTACTTTGGGTAGTTTTAGATGAGCTACTAAGCACTCGTTCGGGTTGTTATAAACATGTATCTAACAAATATTTTTGATTTTTGATGACTTTTTTGGATTTTAAATATATGTTGTTTGGTAGATAGACATAACATTATGCAGTTTTTATTGGAAAATAAAGTGAAAATTTAAAATTTTGTTTTCCGATTATTTTTATTTATTTGGGGAATTTTTTTACTTGTCTTGAACATTGCAGATAGGGTATTACATATTCTACAGGGTGGTTCGAACTGTATTCCGGAAACTTCGACAGCATGTTCTGCAGACAAAAATAAGTAATAAAGTTCTTATAAATGTATTTCCTAAAATGCTTAGTTTCGGAGATACAGGGTGTAGAAGTTTCATTTTTATTTTGATTTTTTTCAAATAATTTCTGAAGTAACGTCAATATTTAGATGAAAATTGATGTTTGGTAGTTTTTTGACATGAAAAATTTGATTTTGATGTCAATATGACTCCTATTTGTAGGGGGCGCCACCTACATGTATTTAAACTGTTTTGAAGAGTAATAACTTTTTGTCCGTACCGGTATAAAACTGCTGAGGGAGAAATATTCCGTAAAAAAAATACATTAATTAAAGTAGTAAATAAATACATTTCCGTGATTTTTTACGTAAAAAATGTCTCTTGGTAAAAATCGCTACGAGCAACCGTTCTCAAGATATTTATAATGGAAAAAGTCAATACATGTCATTATTGACAAAAATAAACATATGTTGAGTAGATTGTTATTTGACTGAAATGATAAATTTGGAAACTTTTTTAAATTAATCATTAATTTTTCTTTGAAAAAATGACAATAAAACAGTTTCTGTTGAACTTTTGGCACAAAAACATTTCAAAATTATGATTTCAGTCTATACAGGCTGTTTCAAAACAAATACGAAAAACTTCAGGGGGTGATTCCTTGTTCAAAATAAAGGGTAGTTTGCTTTATAAACGTTGGGTCAAAAAAAGTCAACCATTAGGGAGATATTGCGGTACAAAGATGGCGGAAAAATAATGCAAAACGTATTGCAGTAGAGTAATGTCAAATGAAATATTAGAAACATCCTAAAAAGTGACAGCGGCCGACTAGATTTTTTCCTAAAAAAATGACAGAACCCCACTAGATTCTTTATCTAAAATTTTTTTGGTCCTGACATGTAATGTAATGCTTTACATTTTTTTTATTTCAAATCGGTGAGTTTTATCAAAAAACACAAGAGATAAAAAAGTTTCTAAACAAACTAAACTGTCCAAATTAATTTTTTGGCATGTGTTTGATAAGATTTTTCTTTAAATTTCGTTAACAAAAATGATAGGGGTAGTTTATTTCAACCCCTTTCACTCATTTTTAAAAAGTGAAAAAATTACCAGAAAGTGTGTTTTCATAACAGTAATGCCTCCATAAAATTTCATTAGTCTATCGCTTTTCGTTTTTAAGATAAAAAATAAAAACATTATTTTTCGGCTATCTTTGTACGGCGATATCTCCCTAATGGTTGACTTTTGACCCAGCGTTTATACTACCAAACTACCCTTTATTTTGAACAAGGAATCACTCCCTAAAGTTTTTCGCATTTGTTTTGAAACACCCTGTATAATAACTATTTAGTCAACATGTTTAATTTATGTCAATGATGACAAGTTTTGATAATTTCGATTCCAAATATCTCGAGAACCGTTACTCGTAGCGATTTTTACTAAGACACCTGTTTTAGGTTAAAAACGTTGTAAATGTATATTTTTCACTCAGTAGTTTTATACAGATATGGACGAAAAGTTATAACCTACTCTTCATACCAGTTAAAAAATACGTAGGTGGCGCCCCCTACATATAGGAGTCATAATGACATTAAAATCAAATTTCTTAGATCAAAAAACTCCCAGACACCAATTTTCATCCAAATATTGACGTTACTTCAGAAATTATTCGAAAAAAAAAACGAAATAAAAATGAAACTTTTCTTTTTGACAGTGACTCACTCACCAATCATCAAAATTACAGGAGACTCCTAGAAGTCTCACTAACTCCATATTTTCAATTTTAGCAGCGTTTAGTCTATAAAGGAAGAAAAAAAGCAAAAACACACAGTGTAAAAAAATGCGTGACTATCGGCCTGTACCACTGCGACCTTCCTAGATCTATTGTGATCCTGATCATTTCGCAAACCTGTTTAAAATCATGAAAAATCACATACTACATACTGCCATTACTCGCTGACCAGTATCTGACAGGCATTAGAAGATGTTCACGCATGGCATCTTTTTTATTAACTTTTCTGTGACTGAAAAGCCCGATACGTGATGTTATCTGCCTACCGCACTCCAGACATTCAAAAATCTCATTACTTTGTTGCATCTTTACTTTTTGGTTGTGATGCTCTTAACTGAGTTTACAATTTTTCTCCATTGAGTTCTATTGTGAGCTACTTCTTCCTACTCGTTCTGCATATTAATCGCCTTCAAGTTTTCGTGGAAAAGGTCCTTGTGCCTTTTGAGTTGTCCATCCGGCCTCCTCTTACCGTTTACAAGCTCACCGTAAAGCAGAGATTTTGGTATGCGGTTTTCTTGCATTCTGCATACGTGACCAGCCCATCTTAAGCGGGATTTGGTAACGATGACTTCAATATTTCAAGGATCGATACGTTTGAGACATGATGGAACCATCGGATTCTTAAGAGTTGTCTAAGATGTCTCTGTTGCAACTTGTTTAATGCGCTTATATGTCGGCGGTACGGCACCCAGGTTTCGCTCCCATATAACATGGTGGAGATTATAGTAGATAGAAAAATCACACGCTGCCACTGGTACCTATCAGACATTCAAGATCGGCGACTGATATATTATTGCCTAATACGGAAACGGCAAACGCTCTATGCATTTGCCCATATTTCATCCGTTTATTAGGCAAATTCCGCATCTATCTTCCATGTAAATCAATCGGAGACTGGAGAGGTTTACCTGGCCGAAAGAGCGACGGCCATATTTTATATTCGAAGGAAAAGACGTCGTAAATCTCGTTCGAATGCGATAGCTGTAAAATTTTATTTTCGCGAAAAACCCTATGTTTTTCTTCTAGCACCGACCGTCTCGATGAATTTTTCATAATGCGATGCATTTTCTAACAGTTCTCTTCTTAAAAGATGCATAACAGCACCTTTGTTTTCTAGAGATGACGAACATTGTTATAAAAAAGTTTGATTTTGAGACTATATGATTTTTTTCCATAGCAACGGTTAAAATTGCCTTATATCTATCAAAAATAGTAGATAAAATAGTACTTTAACCGCAAGAGTAGATTAAATGATACTTTAACAGCGAGGATAGGTTTAAAACTTTATTTATTTTCGCACGTTTTTTAATTGCTTCCATTTTTGAAAATTTTTGTATTCCTTTTTATAAGTTATTTGGGATTTAAATGGAAGTAGTTTGGATATGGCGTTTGTCGCCTCAGCCCGAATATCTGTTGGTAATTTACTTATTTCGTTTTGAGCCATATCTGGCTCCAATTCAATCAGCAATCGACACGAAAAAGAATTAAAATATTGACTCAAAACTGACAACTAAAGAGACAGCTTTATTTGTCAAATTACAAAAACGTTAACCCAGCACAATATTTTTCCCACTCGTAATAAATTTTTTAAAATAGTAATTTCTGAATATTTTTTTAAACGTAACTCGCTATGGAAAAAATTTTTGTTTTATTCGTGTCCCGAAATTAATTCACTGGCAATTTCATCGCTCGTGAATTAATCTTTTCGGTTGACGATAAAATGCCGACGATAAATTTTATCGTGTTGTATAAAAAATAACTATTATTTTTAATACATAAATATTGGCAAAATGTTATCAAAAGATTTTTTTGATGTTACTACATATGATTAATTAAGAAAAATATGTCTTTTTATTTTTTTCTATAGAATGTGACGTGAACTGTCACAAGAAATGCGAAAAATTGATGGCAAATTTGTGCGGCATCAACCAAAAGTTGGTTGTAGAGGCCATAGAAAAAGTCAGGAAAGGTGAGTAGCAATAACAATAATTATTAAATATTGCTTATACAGGGTTGTTCACCATATACGACACGGAGTATTGTAGCTAAACAATTAGATTTCTACAAATTGTAAGTTTTGGGTTCGTTGAAGGACTATTAGAGCTACAATTTAAAAATATTTTTACAAGATACAGAGTGTCCCAAGTAAGTAAAAAATATAATAGTTGTATTTTTTTTAATGGAACACTCTGTATATTATTCTATTTTTAGATTTTACGATTGAAATAAAGGTAAATTTGATTAAGGTTTATCGCACTTAAACCTTACCCTTTTTGAAATATCTTCAATTTTTTGAATTTACATTACAAATTTTAAGGCTTCATTTCTCCCAAGGGTATCAAAGATTTTAATACTAAATATTTACTGAAGTTTATTTATTGATCAGATATTGTGTTGCAATAATAAACAAAATACTACCTTAGACAGAGTGTCTATAAATTTATAATAAATAATTACTAGCTTTAAACGGCAATAACTTGTTTAATTTAAATGGAACACCCTGTATATTTTTTACGTGAATCAGATGCACAATTTAATTGTCTATCAAATTGTATTATACTATTTTTTACCTATCCCTTCAAGTTTTCGTAGAAAATGCATTTTCTTATAATTAAGTTCTGATTTATCAATATACCCATGGAATATTGACATTTTAGATTATTTTTAAAGATGTAACAAATTTTCAAAGAGTACAGATACTAATATTGTCGATATAATTTGCTTATTTAATTCAAGAATAAAAAAACAAAACTGTTTAAATATTATTTGTTAAAGAGCACCAATTAATATAATCCCAGTATTCAAACTACATTAATTGACTTTTACGTTGATTAATAATAATTGCTCCAAATACTAAAAAACTGAATTTTGTATGTGTATTAGACAGTGTGGTAAAAAGTAACACCTTATGAATTTTATTTGATTTTTTGACGAATGCTTATTTATAACAACAGAGACGTTCATTTTTATAACTTATTATCATATAGATTTCTGAGTCAAATCCATATTTATTTAGATAATTTATTAATAATAATTTATTAATTAAAATAATAAAGTATGTAATTAACTAATTTTTGCGCGGAAATAATGGTGGTATATTTAATTGGTATACTCTTTTACAAAGATTTAAATACTTTTCTTTTTGCAAACCGATGGGCCTACAATGTTATTATTTTTACTACCTGTACATTTTGTACATATATTGCTTTAAAAAATCTAAAATTCCATCGATATAGTGATAAATGAGCTCTAAATTTAAAAAAAATGCATTTTCTACGAAAACTTGAAGAGATAGGTAAAAAATGGTATAATACAATTTGTCAGACAATTAACTTGTGCATCTAATTCACGTAAAATATTCAGGGTGTTCTATTTAAATTAAACAAGTTATTACCGTTTAAAACTAGTACATAATTATTTAACATAAATTTTTGGACACTTTGTATAAGGTATTATAATTTTATTAGAGCAACACAATATCTGATTAATAGAAGTAATCTTCAATAAATATTTAGTATTAAAAACTTTGATACCCTTGGAGATATGAAGCCTTAAATATGTATTTTACTGCAATTTCACAAAACTGAAAATATTTCAGAAACGGTAAGATTAAAATGCGGTAAACCTTAATCAAATTTACCTTTATTTCAATCGTAGAATCTAAAAATAGAATAATATACAGGGTGTTCCTTTTTAAAAAATACAACTATGATATTTTTTACGTATTAGCATAGAATATCTAGCTACGCCTAGCTAGATATTCTGTGGTATTAGGGACAATCTGTATCTTGTAAAATGAATTTTAAATTGTAGCTCTAATAGTCCTTAAACGAACCCAAAACTTAACAATTTGTAAAAATCTAATCGTTTAGCCACAATAATACGTGTCGTATGTGGTGAACAACCCTGTATTTTCAGATATGTTTATTTATTTATATAACATGTTGCAAACGTTCGGTGAAATAATTTCATAATTCCAACTGAGTACTGAAAATTTTATTCTAATGATATTATAAACTACCGTATGATCGAAAAAAAATGGCGTCCAGTTAGCTGGGAAATGACGATCGATGACACTCCCCATGTAAATTTACATATAAAATGACAGCGATCTTCATTTCATTGCCATCGCTGACGCTGTTTTTTCTCGATCATACGGTACTTTAGAATGTTAGTATTTAAATAAATCGTTAAGGAAAATAAGTAACGTAGGGTTGCCTTCTTTCAAAACATATTTTCAGACAAAAAAAGGTGCAAAATCAAAACAGATTCTCAGATATTTTGAGACCGAATTATCTTATACCTTCTTTGGTATTTCGTCTGCGATCTTTATTGGAAAATTCCAATATCTCCACGCCTACGCAGCTCGATAGGTTTTTTGTTTTATTCAAAGCATATTTCTAAATTAAATTTCGCCATCGGTAATGAGATTTCTTCATAATGGAAGAAAATGATTTTGGAGATTAAAACGACAATACTTAGAGGAAATTTGAAGCTTTTTGTTAGGTAAATGTTAATCCCCAGCGGGTATTTTTGGATTTTATACCGGGTGATGCACCGTCATTGGAAACATAGGAAATCCTATGCATATTTTGATCTTTCCAAATATTGGCTCTCCTGTTGATTTTACGGTGAAGTCGTACATAGGTTTCTAAAGACGTACATATGCTGAATGCACATGTCAAATTTAAACAATATTAGACAAGTCAATTTTAACTAATTTAATCTACGACAATGTCATTATGACACATTTAACATTGTCATTTGGATGTCATTATGGCTTTCATAATAACACGCAAATTTTAAAATAAGAAACAAGCAAAAAAAAGTACCTAAATACGTTTATTTATTGTAAACATTCCTTATAATATCAGTACAATTGGTTAAATTAATTCCAGACGATGACAGGTGAGTTGAATTTTTAGAAAATAAATTTATTTCCTGAGTGCTTGAACTTGTTGAAGACCCTTCATTGCCAGAAATGTTACCCAAAATATTACATGACACGTTTTTCTTATTTTCTCTGGAATTTTCTGTTTAGCTCTCTACCACTGTGTTAGAGCGCCAACCACCATGTCTTTTAACAGTTAATAAATGCACTCCTGAATCTGCAAGCAACGACGCAGACGATCTACGGAAACAATGTCCAGTGTATTGTTGTGGATTTGGAAGACTTAGGAACAATGCTATTTTATACGGCATTTTCCCTAAAGTATTAATGCCAACGGGTTGCTTAATAAATTTTCCATTTCTGTACCCCACAAAAAATCGAGTATGCTCTGTGTTGCTTGGCCGCATAGCTATATATCTTCGAACCATTTCCACCATATTTATTCCTTCAACATTCCCTTTAGTTATAAAAAAAAATCTCGTGATATCTTTGTTTTCGTAAACGGAATAATGACATGAATGCATTGTCCTTCATCTTTAACATTTTGCAGCTGCAGATTTGTCAACTCGATACGCCGGCAGGCTCCACCGCAAGTTCCACTATCAATGAAACTTTTGTCAGGAAATAAGTTTTATCATCGGCTTCCAACAAAAAAAACGAGTTATATCATCTTTTCTTAAAATTCTCGATTTTTTTGACCGAAATCCTTCCGATTTTCTTTTTAGAAATGCAATTAAATGGACGTACTTACTAATAACTGTATTTTTCTTCACTGATATAACTGAACGTAGCATGGAATAATACACCCAAAGTAATGAAGCCTCCCTATGTTTTGAAAGATGTTCAAAATATTCCAGGGGAACCTTTTCGTTACTACTATTCTTGATTCCTTTCCCTTTACACCAATCTTCAAGTTTTACATAGGCTTGCTCGTACGTTTGTCTTGATTTTTCGGGAAGTAGGGAATCGACAAAGTTTTGCGCAATGCTTTCAATATCCAAAGGGACACTTTCAGAATCAGAATCACCCATATTAATATTATTTTTTGCTTTTTGCTAAAACTGAACGTTTAACACAAAATTGAACATCTATAATTGAGTTGTCAAAGTCAAAATGGAAACAATCAACAAGCACGGTTACCACGGCGTCCACTAATATGGGCACCTGATAATTTTCAATTTTGATTTTTATGAGGATATCTCTGATATTTTAAATTAAATCAAATCTCTTTGGATCGTCCCTCGTGTCGCGTCGTAGATTAAATTTTGAATGATACACGTTCGATACGAACTTTTTAATGAAACTTATGAATGCCATTATGATGTTCCTATCGAACTTGTATCATTAATAACTATAAGAAAAACTGGTAACAATCCAAAACAAATAAGATGTCAAGATTGATCCGCAAGGCGTAATCTTTCTCAAATTTAATTTTCATTCATTTTTGTATCTTATCTTATAGCAGCTTTAAGAGCTATCAACTGTGCAAATCGAAATTGTTTAAAGAATGCCTAGAGAAGCTGGAACAAATTAGGCAAAGAAAATAAGTCCATATCAGCCCATCAAGTGATAAAATGTAATGAAAAAGCAAACGATCTAGCTAGAAAAGGAGTGAACATTAAACTAACTGGAACATTGAAATGACTGGAAGGCAATAAACAAGTGCGAACGCAAATTCTGTGGGGAAAATGCAGAAATACCAGAACAAAAACATACGTTAAGTACCATAAACATTGGTACGACTGATATCGGAGATGGAGAATTAAACTCTCGAAAACCGTCTAAGATACTGGCTTTTGTCACAGCCCTGAGACTGTACGACGAGTTATAACTCAAAAAAGTGTGATCAACTCTTTCCCCCTCCAATTTAATCTACAATCTATTATTTCATCGAGTCTACAAGATCCTTGCAGTACGTTTTTTTTAAATGGGACACCGTGTATATGTTATAACAATTAGAAATACCTGGCTACGTGTTGTAGAAGGCAGCTGATTTTTCGAAAAAAAATAAAGGTATTTTTAGAAGCTTTTTGGAGTTATATCTGTATCGAGTAGGTTGATGTTTGAGTTTTTCGAAA